CAATAAACAGATGAATTCATTGAGTTTTCTCGTTATGCATTATAGAGTGTTTTTTTTTATTACAAGTATATCCTAACCTCGCATCGCAAATTATTTCATAATGTATGGAATAGTACAACATATTTTAACTGATTTTCAAATAATTACAGAACATATATTTGAAAATGTTTGTGATAATTACTGAATGGTATTGAGAAAAAGAGAAAAAAAGATATTCTCGATAGCAGTGGCGTGACTCATCAGTGACGCCGTATGCACGATCCATTTTAAAAATGAATTTTGATGAGGAATAAAGTTTCGTATTGGTGGTTGCAAATATCGGACAATGTTAAATCGTAATTTCATTCACCTAAAAAATATCTGAATGTTTTATTTGTATCTCTCATAATTTTGGATAAATTTGAGGATTTGTGATTCTTATTATTGAACTTGAAAACATTTTTGTGATGGGAGGCAAGTTGGAACTCAAAATTGAAGGAATCGAGAAACACTTTAGGACCTTTTTGTTTTTGTTGAAGAGATGAACAAAACACTTCATCACCACTTTATACCATATCATTATAGCTATATTTGCTATATTTCAGAAAATGTTGGAAAACATTTGGAAAAATCTAATTTTTTATTTAAACGGTTGAATATGTATCAAAAATTTTTGAGAAGTATTGATATTGAATTCAAACTAGTAGTAGTTTCTCTCTAGAAATGTGTGTTCGTCAACTTACTGTGTTTTTAGATTTCTAAACCTATTCATTTGATGATATTTCATTTCTCTTTTAGGATAATAACAGCAATTGAGGAAGAAAGAAAAAGAAATATTACTTTCATTTCTCTTTTCGAATAATACCACCATGAGCAAGAAAGAAAATGTGTTAATTTGAAGAATGTTTTTTTTTATTTTGTACTGAAAATGAAAAAAAATGTTTTGTAGAATTTCATTTCAAGAATGTATATGAACTTATTTTGTATATACACATTTTTTTTAATATATCAATGTGTAATATGTCTTGTGCATTCAATTATCTAAATTATGAGGGAAAATGGCCACTTAAGAGTCAAGAGTCAACAATTGATTGAGGTATCATTATCTTCAAAACTACTCTGAATACGGACCTTCTTACAACGGAATATCCCAAGGTAATATAACCCGTAAATGAATAATTACAATGTTAAATTTTATCAGAGTATAGAATTCCACTGTGAAATTATATAAGAGTGTAAAATTCTACTGTAAAATTCTGTCAAGAGTGTAATATCTCGATATAAATTTATATCGCAAATGTACCCTATAAAGTTTTATTTCAACACAAAATTACACTCAAAATGAAAAATTACACTGAAAAATTCCACACTTGTCTTCGGGGTAGAATTACAAAATAATATTTCGCATGGAATGTGAGATCACACGCGAAAGTAATTTCTCGCTAATGTGGGCGGTAATTAAATTGCCACCGGTACCGGTGGAAAAATTTTTACCATTGAAGAGCTTCTTCGACAGGAACGTTGGTGTAAAGGCTTTTCACGTCGAAATTGATCTTTTACTTTAATTATTTCATTCGTTTTAGTGTATTTTCATTTCACGTTTCATTGCTTGATATCATTGGTATTGAATCTATTCATTCTAATTTCATTTTATTTGTTCTTTCATTGATTTCGGCTCATATAAAATGGTAGCTCGAACTCGTAGAATTACTTTGTTTGAGTGTATAATTTCCATGTTCCACAATAATTACTTATCCCATCTTATCAGCACCGATTATGAAATTGATTAAGTCGTTCATGACAGATAAACGAATCCATTTCCTCGCGAAATCCTCGCAAAGCGTTCAAAATTATAAAAAGCGTTTATCCTGTCATTATAACGTTCATTTTTAAAGAGGCTGGCGTCAGAGTAATCTTTTATGCGCTGAGTACCAAATGAAATTATTATTATTATTAATGATACTAACATTATTCCTGCATAGTCCAAATGACTTTTAAATTGAATTCCGAGCTAGGAGGCAGGGCGCTTCAAAAATGGAGTACGTAATGAGATTAGTTCCAAGATACGACGGCAGATGGGAGCTGCTATAAAAATGCTTTTATTATATTTTCGACTACAATGGCCCGTTCAGGCCCAAATTGGCACATTGTTAGTCTATGTCTCGCTGTGTACGCGATTTATGTTTCGTTTATTATCATTGTTTTATTTTCTTTGTGTACGTCCTAACTTGATTTGGGGATGCGATGGTGATTTTTATCACAAAACAAATGGATTTTCGGCCTGTTAACCTTTGGTTGTATTTATAATCCCGTTCGGGACTGGAGTTATCATATTATTTTTCATGATACAGGGTCACCGTTCTACAAATCACACGTTAACATGGTTTTCAAGAGAAATAATGAACGATTTAAAAAAAAAAAAGATGAATTTCGTAAAGAATATAAAAATTTTCACAATATTCTGGATTATCAACATTTCATATATTTGAAAAAAAAAACAAAAATAAGGGAATCAAAATTGCTCCTTTGGGCTTTTAGATCGACGATCTCTTAGACAGGAAACAGTAACTAGTTTATGAGGGATGGGAATCCCTGGTGTACCCCAAGGGTCCAATTCAGGACCTCTATTCTTTTTATTACTAATAGATGATCTACCAGAGGTAGTTCAGGACTCGCAATTTGCATTATTCGCGGATGATTTTAAATTATTCAAGGAAATCAAAAGTCAAGAAAATGTGATTCTGCTACAAAATGACCTAGATAGAGTTTACGAGTGGTCCCTAGCAAATCGCCTCACATTTAATAATGACAAATGCGGCAAATCGTCTCACATTCATTAATGACAAATAGTTTAGTATGTCAATTACTTGGAAAAAACTACGGAATGACTTTCAGTATAAGATAAATAATGAATAACCAAGAAAACAGAATGTAGAGATTTGGGAGTTATGCTGGAGGAGAAACTTNACTTCCGGAAATGTCAGTTTCTGATCCAGAATTGTCTCAGAAATCCAAAAATGTTACAATATACAGGGTGTTCCATTTAAAAATTCAGAACCGGAGCCATTTCCGCTGAAACCGGAAGTGACCGGAAAGTGAAAAATATGTGAAAACTCTCCTCTCCACATATCATTTATCTGTACCAAATCTCGTTTTGATACACCTAATAGTCTAGAAGTTATGACTTGTCTAATAGATTCGTTGACACCCGGTATAACCAACATTATAAACAGAGCATACCTACTTGAAATTCAAGTAGTTTTATACTTATTCTAAGCAAACCTTACTACTGAGTATAGCTTCACTTTTGATTGAACATCAACTATTTATTAGCATCAGAAGTGTTCTTTTCTTTGATCAAGAATATAGCTATTGACTCAAGATTTTAACATAGGTACCATCAACTTCGTAGAAGAAAAACTATTTTTTCAAATATTCGTTTATATTCATATCAAGTATAGTTTTCTTCTTGATACTACATTAATTATTAATAATATTGTTACATTTCAAAGTGTAAACCTAGCCTAAATATAAGAGTTGTTCATTTCTTCGGATTTAATATTGCTATATTGAGTGCGAGAAATTAATATACTTCGTGGGTGAAAAATTATATATATTCTACGAAATATTTCTACTCATTCACATATTTATATAAAAAATATTCGTATTGATTTTCTACTTAAAAATAATCTATTTGTCTTGTAGGAAATACAGATTATATTTCGACCCATTACAGTGCTTTTCTTTAATCTGTCTCCTTTCCCTCTTATTTTTTGAACTAATTCAATTAGGAAACTGAAATTTGAACTGAGGTATTGGTTCCATGAATGCTATGGATGCTATATTTTAGTGTCAGGTGAATTGAAAAATCTGCAACTCTGTGTTGAAAAAAACAAAAATATATCTTAAAAATTGTGTAATGCAAGCTCATTTTGAATATTTTACTCGTGAATATGAAATGAAATAGTGACAATTTTCCCGTTTTTCCTGTTATTATATAAATAAATGAAAAATAAACGTGCCGGCTGTCAACTCAGCATATGGAAAGTAACAAATTTTTAAACTCTAAAACATAATAATCGTTGAGTCATATTTACATTTACAATCATCAAACAAATTGATTTACCTAGTCCTTCCTCTCTCAATAATCATTCTCTTCCGAGAATATACCGGTATAAATTCAAATAATATCAAATAATAGTAAATCAATAAGAGAAATATTGAAAAATAAAAATAAAATAAATAACTAGGTTGAATGAATAAGAACATAAGACGAACGTAGGACTCATAAAATTAGTGCCTAGTGACTTGTCAGTCCTGATGCCTATTCTAACCCTTGATGTAACTATTTTGCATTGGAAAACCCTGTGTGTAACATTTTCTTGGTGGAAAATTAGGTATATATCCGTTACGGAATCACGTGGCACACAATAATGAGCTTTATCATATTGGAAATGCAAATTGTGCACTTTTTTGAGGTTAAGTTCATCCAAGCAATCATTTCAAACATCAATACCTAAGGTATGAACTTTCCATGTCCAGGAGTCATCCCAGAATAGAAAATGTCAATACATTTGATAACTACAATTGATTTACAGGTAATAACAACCTCAAACATACCAGTAATAATTCGAGTATCTATCTATTTAGACAGTATTTACCAACAAACCTACACTTCAGTAACCATAACAATAACGAAAACATTGAAAACAACCAAGAGCACCCCAAATTTGAGCGAACGAGTTGATGAATCCGTTTTATTGGTTAACCCCTCTCAAAGACAAGTAGCAATAGCACTTACTCAACTTAATTCTTGTCTATTGACACCAATTTGAAGCTTTTGCACCATAAAATCTACGGCACAGAGCTTATTAGAGTTGGCGGGCATCCACGTCTACCCATATCGACTCCATGATGGATGCCCGGGAAGTTTTATTGGTCAGGCGTTTTCGGCCACGCCTCCTTTACCGCCCCCGGGGAAAGAAGCGTGGTTGCCAACTTCAGTCAGTCGAAAGCGCGCGATGGATTCGGACCGTTGTGAAGATACCTCTAGTATTCTTAATTACGGTTTGGACGTTAAACCTATGCGGTTGGTCGCGAGTCCACATTCCGGACCCAGACACACCATCGACAACATTTTGGGGCTAGTCAGAAAGGGGGACGAGATGATGGAGCGAGCGCTGACCCCCGGGAATGCTGAAAGTGCCGGTAAGGCTGTTGAATACAATGATGTTTACGCTGAAATATCCATTTCCCGCCTTTTTTTTTCCAAGAAAACAGTTTTTGTTTACCAATTTCAATAATAATTTCATTGTCATCACAACATCCATGAACAATCCAAAAACGTCAAAATTTGTAAAAAATATAACAACATTGCACTTCTTCTGTTGAAAATAGCATCTATAGTTGTCAGTGGAATAGATTCCTTTTTAAAAAAGTTGTAACATGGAAACCAAACTTTCAGATGCCAAGAAATAAAAAAATTAATTATTCAATCAGACCCCCAAATTGTTGAAAGTGCCGGTAAAACTGGAAAATTCTGTCAACTCCGAAATGCTTATTTCCCGCTATTTTGTTCAAACAATATTTTTTGTTTCTTCTTTTATTTGAATTGCTTTGACAGATACAGACGATCCAGTTAGCTAGATTTCTTTGTCGCGTCCATCAACGTGTCAAAATAGCATCTACCTATAGATATATTTAATTTATCATTGGAATAGATTCCAACTCAAATAAAACCTAATATAATATGGAAATTGAATAATTGGATGCCCAAAAATGAAAAAAGACTTGATATACATCTTATATCAGACCCCCAAAAATGTTGAAAGAGGATGTTGCAAACAATTATGTTGACTATGAAATGTTCAATTTGTGGAGACTACTATTCTTTGGCTTTTATGTGCATTTTAGTATCTACGATTGATAGAGACATACGAATCAGGTAAATGATCAGATGTTTTGTTTATCAATATTAATACTATTTGTAGTGGAATTTCTGGTCTGTGAAATGTCTTTATCAATAATGTTGTTGTATCTAGGTAATAAGTATCTAGGTACTATAAATGAATAATGAATTTGAGAAAGAAAAAAATGCCCTTGTTCTTTGTGAAACGCATCCGTATAGTTAGGGATAACGTAGAATCCACCTTAAATAATTGTAATTACACTTCGACTAAGAATGAAAAAATAATGAAATAAAATTGAATGGGAATCAAATCTGAATATCTTTCTCAGAATGGAAATTTTTGTAATATGGTTCTATAATGAAGCATTTGGGTTTGCCAAGTTCCTTGGCAAAAATTATCAACGAATGGTACATGAAATTAACTATTTTTTATGAACTGAATTTGAGAACACAAATATATTTTCGTGATTAGGAATCTGTCATACTTATATAATAGTTTCTTTTCGGTGGACAAATGGGACGAAATAAATGAGAAATTTTGAAAAAGATCCCGAAGAAAGCAAAGAGAATTTTTCTCACACAAGAAGATACAAATAAAGGCAAATTAGTGTTTTGGTGTCTCAGTTAGATTCTATAACAACATAAGGAATTGAATTCATATTAATGTATTACATAAGTTTGAATACACTGTCGATCTGAATTCCTTTATATTTCGAAGTTTGGGAGAGAAAAATAAGAATTATTCAACAAATACGAACATGGCTCTATATTAGGGTAATATATCTTTCCAAAACTTCTGAAAAATTCAAAATTGAGTTGATGAAAACTGAAAACTAAGTACCTATATTTACATTTTTTGTGTGTTCGACACGCAACCTTCTATAAATTCTCCATTCACAGAATAATCTTTTTGTACTATTTCTGTATAAAGTCACAGAAGTGTATAATGCCTGTACTGATTCAAAAACTTACTCATTTGTTGATATAAATTCGATGAATAATGCTTTACTATCATTTTATCTTTGTCTTGGCACTAGATACGTGTGCTCACATTGAAAACTATTAGATTATGCTGATAATTTTCGTTTTTTTCGAAAAATGTTTTTATTCTGAAGTGATTTCAAAGTATTAGGTACTCTGTTCAAGGAATACGGTGAATTTTGTTTTTTTCCTTTCATGGATTTCTTCAGTTTTTGGAATAGGAAAAAGATCACACTGGAGCAAATCTGGTGAATGAGGTGGCCACGGACACTACTCAGTGAATGTGGACTTTTTGTGCTGAGTAATGAATAATGAAGTCTGAGAAGACATCCATTTAAAATAGTGAGAGAAAGAATTCTAAAACTGTACCGCCAATTTTTTCTGTGTAATCGTGTTCTTATTCCACTTGAACGGTCTGTCTGAGCAAATAGTCTGTTTGTTTGAAGCTGGTTCCAAAGTGTGTCCACTTTGGAAATAATAACTGCAGTAGAATCCACCAGGTCCCTTATGGATCAGAAGAATTCAGATGGAAAATCAGAGATCAGCTAGATCGAGAACCAGTTCAAACTCCCAACGTCAGCAATGAAGAACGAAGAGCCCTGAACGGGCTACGTAGAGACAACACTATCAAGATCTTACCTGCAGATAAGGAAAACGATACTGTCGTGATGGATACTGATCTCTACGAACAGAAGATCGAGAAGGTGCTTCAGAAAGGAAAATACACGAAAATCTTAAGAGGCCCTACTGCATCAATTGAAAGGAAGTTGTACCTGACTTTGAAAAAACACTAAGTCTATTTTTCGGAAAAAGAGCGATCATCGCTAACACCGCACCGCAGTAGTAAACCACCTCACTTGTAGGGACTACCCAAAATCCACAAAAAGGATGTTCCGCTCAGACCAATCATTAGCTCCAGAGATTCAGATACTCAGGACTTGTTCAGGTTTTTACTACCAATAATTAAACCATTGCAAGGTAAAACATCATCTTTTGTGAAAAATTCAAGACATTTCGTTGAACTACAAGTAGAAATCGAAGTCAAAGATCAGGTTAAACTGATCAGTTTCGACGTGGAAAGCCTCTACACCAACGTTCCTGTCGAAGAAGTACTTCAAATCATACAGAAAAAGCTATCCGAAGATGGGGACCTGAAAGATAGAACAAACTTACCGATACAAGTAATCATGGAGTTACTAGGATGCTGTGTACGAAACTGCTACTTCCAACTGAAGGACGAATTCTGTACGCAAGATGAAGGACTGCCAATGGGATCGCCACTTTCACTGGTTATAGCCGTTATATATGGAGTGGTTTGGAACTCTGGCCATTGAAGAAGCCCACAAGAAGCTCCGAGTCTGGTTGAGATACGTAGACGACACCTTCATAATATGGAACTATGGGAATGCAGAACTAGACATTTTCCTGAAGCACATCAACAACGTCTTTCCATCACTTTCACAATGGAGAAAGAAGTCCACAACAAGTTGCATTTCTTAGACGTATTGGTGAAGAGGACCGACACTAAATGGGAAACATTTGTATATCGAAAACCCACTCACACAGGACAGTATCTGAACCAGAAATCCAACCACCATCAATCGACTGAGAGAGGAATCATCAAGACTCTACAGTTTTACAAAAACGCAACACGTGTTTCGCCATACAATGGCTTCTTCGGGCGTCTCTTTGCTAACTATATTCTACATAGTCAGTGCTTAATATACCTAATTTTACAATTTGCAGTACCTTCAAATACCTGAGTTTCACCAGGGTTTCTAATGAATTAAATTATAGCTGAGCTTATGTCCCAGTTTCCATATTTGAAAAAATATTTAGTAACGGAGAGTTATTCAATTCTAATTGACCATTCAGTAAATTACCCTAATTCTTGAATCTATTGATTTCTGAACATTCTAGAAGTTTCAATTTCAAACTGTTCTCTTCTGAATGTAACACGTCGTATTCATGATTGAAGTCATGTCCTTCTGCATGGTTTGCAAATGTGGAATCGGTTTTTCTTTTAACAAAACTACTTCTATGCTCTTCAATTCTTTGGGAAAATGTTCTCCCTGTTTGGCCAACATACAGTTTTAGGCGTGAGCCACAAGTCAGTTTATATTCTCCTGATTATACATTCCTCAGTTTTTGACCTGTTTGAGTAGAATTCCAAAAAATGTTTTTGCCTACGTTTGTTGTTAAAAAAGTCTTGTTAGTTTTCAAGAGCGATCTTGTATAAATCTCGATTCTGATTATAATAATTTAGAAGGGACTGGAACTAATCTTGGCCTTCCAAGAATGAACGTAAAACTATAATCTACCTGTTGATTTTGTTTTCGATAAAATATACTTAAGACGTCAAGACCCTTGGATGAATCAGCAAATTTTATTTTAGTCACTTTTGATGATTTTATCATGAAAAGCAAGTACCGCAGTAACAATAACGATTAACAAATGAAACGACATTTGCATTGAATTATAGATTTCAATACAATGAATATGATGGCTTACGTTTCTTTGCAGTACGTATTCTGTATATTACGATTATGAACTTGTAGCGTTATGATGCATTGCCATTTCTCTCCTTTGTTGTTACAATGGAGTACATTATGATGAATCATAATGTATTCGTTGTTCGTTCGTTCATTGCAAAATGATGGATCAGTTTACAGGTCATTATTTGCGTCAAAAACTCTGGAAGATGTGGGAGTATTGAAGTGCCATGGTGGATGGCACAATTCGTATGTAGCTGAAGGTCAGAACACTCCGAAAAAATGTGTTTCAAGAACGCTGGCAAGCGTTCGATCTGAGTCACCTTACAGAAACGTCATTCGCAGACAACGAAACATGATTTGACAACGTATACTGCTCGAAATGTATCTATAAATTAATCAGAAACGGGTTTTTGCCGCAATGAAAATATAATAATGGATTGGAATGCCACAAACAAAATTATTCGTGGAAGAAGTATTGTGAATCACACTTTCGGCAGAGCTTAGTACACGTCTGATCACGTCCACTATAAAAAGTGTTGTGTTAGCGATAAACACGTAACAACGATTTTCTCTCATGCATGTAGTCGATGAATAATCCGGCGTTCTTGGTTCTGCTCTCTTTTTGCCTTGCCTAACCCATTAGGTAGGCATGCACTTCATTAATTTAACGATAGTTCAATCATCTTCTCACTCGGAATGATTTGTTGATCGCGATAATCACGGTAGTCCATTTATCTTTAATTTAGTCCGCCTAATTGATTTAAAGTTGTATACATCACTAGCTAGAAGCACTACCGTCCGTCCACAAAAGAGGCCTGCGGAGA